TCTGAAAGGGGTTTTCCATTTAGGTGGATGTTCATAATTGCGTTTAACGCTTCTTGTTTAAGACCAGTACGTAATGTGTTTTTTTGTAAGCTCATTGCTGAAAATCCTCTTTCAACCACTGCAGTACTCCCAGACAGAGAAAACGTCAATTCCACCAAGCGCAGTATGTTGCTGTATTTCTAGATTAAAGGGTCATTTTAGAAGTGAGGCGCTATACTCTTGTAAGATCACAAAAATTGAAAATGTATCGCGAATATTGATGGGAAAATGGCCGTCCGCGCGGACGTCGGATTCGAGATATTTGTTGTCCGCAGGGAATTTTCGATCGCCGAGGACGGGTGGTTTTTCGAGCCCCGATATATATATATATATATATATATAATATGCACACAGAAAAAGCTTTTTAGCACGTATTTCTTCGTATAATTTTGAGAAAAAATGTAAACAAGGTGATGTAATATTTTTTCTTGTTTTCTCTTTTATTTATCTCTTAACTTAAAATTATTGTTAAAAGAGATTCCACGTTAAAACGCTATAAATTCTAGATTAATGTAGTTATAACGGATTACTAATTCACGTCGATTAGATCACTACACGATGAGCTTTTTTTTAGAGTCTTATGAATTTCAAGTTAGATATGTTTGTATTGCAAAGGATTTTAAAGACACATTTGCAAAACATTTAAAAGATTAAACATTATTTAAAAAATGTAATTTATTTACAATAAATAGTATCAATATAAAATAGCACATAATAAGTCATAGTCGTCTAAGGGGATTTGACATTTATGCTTTCCAACTTCTTCCTAAATCTGAAATTACAGAAATATTAGAATTAAAATATAAAACAGCTAAAGTCTTTTTTTTTAAATTAATTACGAAATTAATTATAATTAAAATTATTTATATAGTGTAATATTAAATTTTTAAACCAAACATTGACGAATTAGAAAAATAAATCAACACTTTATAAGATATAAAATATTTTTTTTAAATTGAAAAAAATGCTTTATCGTGAGAAAGAAGAATTTTTCTTCATATAATTTCATGATACATCCATCGATTAACTCAATAATGATTTTTTCAGTGAAAAAATTATTCTTAGTCAACAGGCATGAATTAGTTCCCAAAATAAAGAAAAATAGAATAAAAAATACATATAAGATTTGGGGGATCAAAGTATAGAGTACGAATAATTTTACTTAATTTTTGAATTTTTCAAATCTTTCTAAGACGTAATATTCTTAAGTAATTGCTTTAAACAAAACATAGTTTTTCTTGTTCAGTTACTTAAATCGGTAGATAATTTGTAATATTTTTAATTTAATTTGTGTAGAAATAATCGCAAACCATTTAATTTGAAAAATTCATTTAAATTAAATAACGTTCCTCTTCGTAGTTATTTATGAAAAAATATCATATAGTGTTTTAAAATGATTATAACTTACTTTTTTAACAAAATTATTATGATCACTATTGATAATAGTAGTAACACTGTTGATAAGCACAGAATGATGAAAAAGATGGACGTGATTTCGAATTTATCTGAAACATATAAATAGTTAAGAAGGTAAATTAAGTAAGAATAATAAATAAACTGCTGTTTGTAGAAAATGCAACACCATGAAAGAATCATCAGAATCAAATGAAATTTAATGCAGAAACGACTTGTACTGATACAAATAAATGATGAAATTTTCAAAACAAAAGAAACAAATTAAGCGTCCGAAATCAGTATTTGGTGCAGCCACCACGCGCTGCAATAAGTGCTGCTATACGACGTGGCATGGAGTCAAACAGATGTTGAATATCTGCTTGAGGAAGAGAATTCCATATCGCTTGTATGCGCAACCAAAGTTCGTCTTTGGAAACTGCAGGACGCGGATCACGAGTGAGACGCCGACCAACCATATCCCACACGTGCTCAATAGGCGACATATCCGGCGAATAAGCAGGCCAAGGAAGAAGTTGCATGCGTTGTGCTGAACAGAAGTCTCTAACAGTCCGCGCAACATGTGGGCGTGCATTATCCTGCTGAAAGATAGCTCCAGGGATGCCTTGAAGGAAAGGAACGACTTCGGGCTGTAGCACTTCACGGACGTATCTGTTGCTATTGAGATTACCCTCAATTCGTATCAAATTGGATCGTCCATGATACGAAATCGCACCCCAGACCATAACTCCGGGTGTTCGACCACTATGTCGTTCAATAATACACTCAGGAAGGCAGCGTTGACCGGCATAACGTCTAACACGAACACGGCCATCATGGGTCCACAAATTGAAGCGTGATTCATCTGAAAAGACAACTTGGTGCCAATCAGCTCGCCAGTCTCTGTGCTCAAGAGCCCACTGCCGACGCAGCCGTCGATGATCCGCCGTGAGGGGAATCCTGTATAATGGCACCCTTGCACGCAATCCACGGCGCAGCAGACGACGACGAATTGACGAAGCCGACAATTGTACACCTGTAGCAGTAGACCAATGTGCTGCCAGCTGCCTGGAGGAAGCTGTGCGATCATTCACCGCCATGCGGAGCAGGTGTCGATCATCGCGCTCTGACGTCACCTTCTGTCGTCCAGTGCCTGTTTTTCGAGTTGTTCGGTGCTCGTCGGTCCACTGCTTCCAAACTCGCATCACTGTGGAACTGTTCCGCTGCATACGAGCTGCTATTGCGCGATAGGAAAATCCTCCTTCTCGAAGGCCGATTATCCTCCCTCGTTCAAACTCCGTAAGTTGCTTGAATTTCTTATTCTTCCGTCGTGGAGGCATACTCAGGTCTCACTAAACGTTTGCCACTAACAAATAATCATAGACTATTTTCAACGTCCCGCTACAGCACTTTATTTATACGCTTTCAGCATCAATTCAGAGGGCGCTGCGCGCGCCACGCACGCGCGATGGCTCTGAAACTTTATTAATTTGCATAATATCCTATATCCATTATTAAAATAATATTTCATTTGATTCTGATGATTCCTTCATGGTGTTGCATTTTCTACAAACAGCAGTTTAAGTAATAACAATACAATATTTAACATAATTTTACATTTTGAAGGAAGTAGTTCAATATAAAGAGACTTTTACAGAATACCTATTCTTCAGTTGACTTTTTTATAATTTACTGCATGTAAAAGAAATCTTAAAATAAAATTCTTTAGTGAAAAACTAGTGACTAAACTAGCGACTAAAAACTAGTGACTAAAAACTAGTAACTAAAAAACTAGTGAAAAAATTACATTTAGTTTCCATTACATTTCTCCGAATTTCTTCACATTAAAATGCATGTGCGAATTTCTCGTTAATAAAAAAATAGTTTTTTGGTTAGTAGAAATGTGCACGTTATTGAAAAGCAAGGAGAAATCGGTTAGAATAAATTTCCCAATAGGAAAAATAGTATAAAAAATGATAGAAATTCGTAAAATCTTTCAGCTTTGAGGTTGATAGCTCGTTGTCTTTAACTACAGAAATTTGCCATCTTAATATGCTTCTTAAAATTAAATATAGTTTTAATATATTCCTAACCCAGCATTTTATTTTATTTCAGCGAACCATATATCACCCTAAAAAGATTTCTTTTTACTTGTAGTTTAAAAATTGATAATTCTTGAACTAATTATCGAATCTTATATTTTATTAAAGTTCTTGTACATTTTTTTTACATCTTCGCAAACAATACTTTTTAAGCTGGAAATGATTAGAAAGATTTTAAATGTCAAAACTGAATGCACAATTTAAAAAATCATGCTTGAAGCTTTTTAAATTCTGTTTATTTTGCACTTCCAGAATTTGCATCACAAATAAATAAGCAAAAACAAGCGTAGTACATCTTATTTGTTTCCATACTTTATAAAATAATCAAAATAAATGGTCTATTCATTATAGAGCATACCTATTAATTATATAGTTAATCTATTAAATGTGTGGAGTGTTCTAAATATGACTGTCAAAGTATGAAATAATTTCTTATTCTAGAGAATGACTAATGATTAAATTATAGACAATCTATACCAGTGTTTTCCAACTTTTTTTGTACCATGCCCCACCTAAGCCTTTCTAAAATTCTTATGCCCCCCTATGTAACATATACATAATTTTTAATATTTAAAAATCGAATTGTTCACTTAAGAAACTTAGGAAATTTTTAGCGAAACAAAGAAAGTAAATTTTCAGAACATATAATGAAAAACTGAAATTCAAATTCGAAATAATTTTAAGATTCTTTATACAGATTAAGTCAATAAAAAGATTTTTCTATAATAATTTAATATTTTAATTTAGTGAGATTCTTGCACTTGATGCTTGCTGCACGTAGATTTTATCTTAGGTTCCAATTTGGTTAGCTTCAGTCTCAAGTCTTCCCGTTGTGTTATATCCAGATGATTTCCTTTTTTTTACCAATAAAATCATTTACAGCACTAAATCCACATTCAGCTAAATATGAAAATGATATCGGTAACAATAGTCTTCTTGCACATTTAACTGAATTTGGGTATTTGTTTTCTGTTTCCTCACGAAGCCATGCCATCACTCCTTTCATATTAAATAAAGTTTTAACTGACTCATCATTTTGCATTTCTGCAAGTTTTTCTTGATATATTTGATATATCAGACAAATCCACTAGCATGGACTGCAACATCCTTGTTGGAAAATAAATTTGTTTTAAATCAGAATATCTTTCTTTTAAATCAGCCGATAGAATTTTCAGATGATAGACAATAACAAGAAAAGCGGTATCATTTACTTCACATTTTTGGAGCCAATGAAACTGCTCAAAGCTTTTGTTGTTAATATATTTCTGACATAACTCAATAAGGGTAATGAAGCCAAATATCTTCGCTTTTGCATCAACAAGAGTTTTATTTGTTCCTTGAAGTTTCGTATTTAATATATTCAGTTTTTCAAAGATATTGGCTAAATAACTCACAAATGCTTTACCATCGACTGTAAACAGATACATCATTTCAGGTTTGTCGCTTAAAAAATCCCTAAGTCACATAATATTTATTGATCGCAATTATTTAAGAATTTGCTTTTTTCTTTCGATTTTGTCACCTAAATCTTGCATTGCATTTAAATGGCCCAGAGCAAAAGGTTTAAACTCATGTCGAGTCCATTTTTGAATCCCCCCCTTTACAATCAAATTGCCCCCCGGTGGGGCGTGGGCCCCACGTTGGGAAACACTGATCTATACAATGACCAGGCAAATTGTATATTGGTTTTCGTATTTCATACTTTCATTAAAAACGACAAATTTTCAAAACGATGACTTGGAATTATACACATGTAAGAGTTGAAGAAAATTGTGTAAACACTTTAAGCAAACTAACACTTTAAGCAATTTTTCTTCTAAGAGAAAATATTTTGGAGGAATATAAAGGGTTAAACTCTTGGCAAAATTTGAAAATTCGTGTTAGACGATATTAGAAATGTCATCATTTTTACCTATGCAGAATTTGCATCGATCTAAATGAATGCAGGAATTTAAGTGCTTTTTACTGGGCATTACTTTAAGAAGCATTTTTTACCTTTGCGGTTTTGAAACAGTTTACGAATAATTTGATTTGAAAACCATTATTATAAATTTATGCGTTTTTTTAACCATTACCATGGTTTCAAAACTGTAGGAAAGACATTTAACTGGATATTGGAGTTAGGCTTTCTGTTATTCAATAGACATTGAAGTTAGGTTATGGTTAAGTTTTATTAACTGAATCTTGTAGGCGGTGAAATTAGTTTTTCCGGCTGTTTTACCTATTGTAAGACATGAGAAATATTATAATTTTTTATGTTAAGAAGCTTTAACGTGCTACCATCCATGCGTTAATGATATCGTATGATAATATGCAATGTATGTTAATCGTGTTCCAACAGTCCAGTGTCACAAATTGGGGAGTGTAAGACACTGGAATCCCAGCATGCATATTGTGGTGTCAACGTTGTGACTCGATCCCGCGTTCTGTTGTCATGAGATTGACAGATTTGTCCTTTCAGCTAAAATATGTACCCAACTGCAGGGAACTAAGTGGCTACATTAGGTGGTGAGATAATGTTCTGGTTGTTGAGCCATATTAGTTGGAAGCAGATAATGAACGGTTTTTCTCACAGTTAACAAATTGAATGCCATCTTATTTATAGTTATTTGACTGTTTTGTTTGAATATGGCAAAATGACAATTAAATAGATTGTTATTTAACAACGAGCTTTTTAGTAGTGCATAATTAAAAAAAAATTCTTAGATAAAATTTGCAATCCTGTAGAATGATTTCAAAATCGCTGGTATTAAAATTAGAAAAAGTTATTAGTTTCCTCTCTTTATTTCGGTCGATCCATTTTTTTAGGGGTAAAGCAACATTTATAAAAGTTGTGAGTATGATCTATTAAATTGTGCCTATAGTTTTACCAAAATATTTGCTGCTAAAAGAAGTTGTGTGTGTTTCCATAGTGTTTCCATAATTTAGTTCAACCTCCCTGTGTAAGGCCAACATTTTGTAAAATGACAGAAATTCTTAAACAAAGATTCAATACCGTATAATACAATCTCATGAAAACATTTTCTTACATTTTTATTTCATGCAGGGGGAATTATATTTTTATTTTATATATTTCACAAAATTCAAAGCTATTATTCAATTATTTACCTTCACATCTTTTTGAATCTTTGTTGAAAATCTTGTTTGGAGGGCATATGCAGAATCCTTGCTTAATGGAGTGAATGTAATGGCAAACTGATCCAATGCTATCGCAAGCGCCATTCATACTTTTACATATTTCATTGATTTCACATCGGTCTCCCGTATAAGGTGGCATGCATTTACAAAAGGATTCATGTCCATCTGATGAACATTGCCCTCCATTTAAACACTCTGCACTACTTCTGCATATTTCTGAAAATAAACACTGATCATCATGGAATGAGAAAAATGTAAGGACAGTAAAAATATCGCCAAAAAATCTCTTTTGAATGCTTCAAAGCAATTCACATGTATCCATATTTTGCTATTAAAATATAATACATTTTTAAATCTTTTATTTATTTTTTATAAACGTCTTAAAACATCTTCTTTCTTAATTTAATTATCGAGGTGTCGTACAGTTTGATACTTCTCCGTTTCTTGTGCGATTCATGGAAAAAAAAAAGTTCCAACTACTTTTGATGTCAGATTTACGTAATTTTCGTGTTGTGGTAATAAGTAGGGGAGAGTGGGGTCAATTGTAACAGGGTACGATTGTAACAGAGCAAAAATTTCGAGTGTCGGGTTCTAGATTTGGTTCCTAGGTGGCGCACAAGGTGTATTTAATAAATCTACATGTACACCCCTGATGGCAACCATTTTTATGTACTTTTGAAAGAGTTACATCACAAAAGATATTTTCACGCTACGTAAGTACTTTTTTTGGTATTAGAATATTATATTGTAACAAAGTAATTTTGTTTAAACAAATAAAAATTATTAACCGAATATGTAAGTGGACACCTTAATTAACATTTCAATAAAAAAAAATTAGTTTTGTTAATTAACTAGCATTGTTTTTAACAAATGAAGCTGAAATGGCGTCTTGGGGACAATTGTAACAATAAGTAAAGGGACGATTGTAACAGCTGAAAATAAATAATCTTATGTTTACAAACCATTACTTAACTCTTTAAGAACCACCAATAGTTTCCTATATCATTTATATTATGTTGCATGTGCATTATTTTATTTGTCACCTTTCACAGCATAAATTAAAATTTTTAACCCCTTAAAGTTAAAAGTTTAACCCTTTAGGTCTCTGCTCATTATTATTTTTACTCCTAAAATATCACTACTATTTTGATCAATAAAAAAATATATCACAACTATGATAATATGTATAATTAACTATGTTTTAGTTGAATTTATGAACTGTTACAATTGACCCCGTAAGTGGGGACAATTGTAACAAGTGCACGACTGTCAAAAATTGTTAATAACTAATATAATAACATTTAAAATAAGGTATTTATTTTTTTTTCTAGTAGAGGATAGTCTACTTTACTCGTCTGTCAATTAATACTAATAATATATTGGATTTTTTGTTAGTTAAAAATAGTTAAGTAAAAAATGTTACAATTGACCCCACTCTCCCCTACTGTAGTGATAGGTACTTTAGTAATAACGCTGTAACTTTGTTAATTAAGCCTTGTTAGTTACGCTATTTTAGGTTGTTTCTTAACGGATATATTAGAAAGACCGGAAATTAATGTCATTTCGATACATTTGATACTTTTATCAAGATTTTATTTTTAATCAATAACGCATTCACCCTCGTTAGCCTGTTGTAGAATTCTTATCAAAACTGCAGCAATAAGTATAATACCAGTAGTATATATTACCGTCAGGGATACATATGAGTTAAGCGTCATCTGTTTATGGTGATTTTCTACGGTTTTCCTAAACAAATTTTTTATTAACCTTTTCGCCTATAACTTTGCTCTTTAGCTCATAGCTTATGTTATTTTATTTCAATTAATACTTATTATCAACATTAATAAAGCATACGTGTCAGTAATAAGATGTCAATTCAAAATTAATAAGTATCTTTTCACCAATATTTTTGCTATAACAGTTTCTTATGTCAATTGACAAACTACCAACATTAATTAAGCATCATTGTCGTCATTGATAATATAACGATTTCTTACTCTTCTTTTAGACAAATGAATAGATTAACTCCATTACTTTTGCTTTCGAGTACAAAACTTCTTTCTTTTATTTCAATATGCGTATATTATTTAAATTAATTAAGCATTATTGGCATTAATAAGAATGTGGCGATTTTTTACGTTTCACCTAAACAAATAAATACAACATTCCCATTAATTTTGCCTTCAAATATATATACATATTTTTTTTCTATTCAACTACCGTTAATTTTAAATTAATTTTTTTTTATAAAAACGCTTTGAAAGAAGTATAAATTTTTAAAAAAAATGTGTGGTATTAGACAACTCTAAAAGTATAAATTTGGTGACGTAGCCCTCGCATGTTACCACATCATGTTGCTCATTGAATTTATCTGACATAGCTAATATAAAATAATTCCATATTTAAGTTCATGAAATAAACTTTTTTTTTTCATCAAATAGAGCTATAAGCTAGATATTGTCACTAATGTTATTCTTAAAATATGTGAAAAACTGAATTGTCTATAGTTAAATTTTAGACCATAACTAACGTTTAACCAATCAGAAAATTCCATTTCATTTTTCGCACATCTCGTTCGGACGGTTCGTCGTAGAATACTCAAATACCGACAGTGATCTTCCTCGTGCTTCAAACTATTTGTATGCTAACTTTCGTCGATTTTATTTGGATGATTTAAGTGTCTATAAAGGACGCACACACATTCATTTTTATAGATTAGATAGATTCACATAGATTAGGCAGTGGTAAAAAAACATAAAGCAAAGAATTATTAGCCCCACCTTCTAATAAATTGGTACTAAAATTCGGATGCGTGTGTTCTTTTTTCTTTCTGAAAATGGCACTAACCTGGTTCCTCCACTAAGTGTAGCTAAAATCGATTGTTTATTTTACTTAATGTTATATGTTGTAATCTTCGGTGGCCTTACATTATTGAAGTAAGGAGGGGTCTTTAATTCATACCAATGGAATAATGATAAAATGTATTTAGCAGCTCTTGACATGGGTCTATTGCTCTCGACCGATTCATGACAGAAAAAATTTACCACTATTAAGTGATGTTCTCAGATACATATCCCTTTCGAGGGTCCGTGAAACACTTAGTTCCGAAGTATAGGTATTAAAACTGATTGATGCAGTTTTATTAATCACCAAATATATCAATATAATTTATACTTTACATAAGTATATTTGGTACTTATTACATAACCCTTCAATATTTGAGTTTATACGTATTCGTCAGTAGCCGCCAACTAAAGCCGCATTAACTAAAAAAAAGGAAGAGAAAAAAACTGAACTTGATAAGGATTTTGGAACATGACTATTTCTCTATCTGACCTTTAATTTACTGTTAAAAGAATTAAAAGTAGTGATGGAAAAAAGTTATTTTAATTCTAATTAATTAAATTATTTATGCACTATCTTAGCTACCACTGTATGACCTTTATAATATCGGAAACGTTACTATAAGTACCTAAATTTTTTTTCATGATAAATGATTATCTACAGCACTTATTTTTCTTTACTTGAGCAAGTTCCATTTCTTTGAGCAAATCCATCACGACAAATGCAAATATTTCTTTCGTTTTGGTCAAAGAAGCAGGACGCCGTGTTTCTACCACAGTGACATTCTGAAAAAAAATTAAAATCCGTAAATATTTTGTTCGAAATATTTAGAGACATTTTGTACCCTTTTCATTTAGTTAATTTATACCTCTTAACTAGATCTACACTACGCATACGTAAGATAATACTTGCTGGATGGAGATTGTGCTACGACGAAAGAGAGTTACAATATCCTTCTTGAGAGTCATGGTGGCTCAGGGCATAAGAGCTCTCAGCTATCGCTGTGGTTATCCAGCGTTGACACCACAATATTTCCTTCATTCCTTTCAATATATCAAGAGATTCCAGCGTTCAGCATTCGCCAATTGGTGACTCTGGGCTGTTGCAACACGAATCTCATGCATAGAAGACAGCACCATAAATCCGTTAAACTATCTCCCATATTTACTTACACTTCTTTTTAAAGGTTTTGAAGTCATGTTAGTTGTAAATGGTGAAAAAAAATAGAATTCTGCATTCATGGTTTTTGAACCGTACTAGTAGCAAACTGTTTTAAAAAACGTAAGTATGAAAAAACAATTATTTACCGTAAATTTTACGGTTTAGTAGACTGGTTAACTGCTTCCAATTATTTTACCTTAATTTAGAGCAAAAATTCCAACATCGTTGATAATTCGGATTTGGTTGCTTGTTAAAATAATAGTTCTTTAAGATTTAGGAACAAATTCTTTTTTCTTAGCTATTGGAATCATGGAATCATGCTCTACTGAAACCTTCAATGACGAAAAGGCTATGGAGCTGTGTCGTAATTTAAATCCATTGAAGACATATGCTATGTGTGTTAGGAGATTCATTACGTAGATATGATTAGTTCGTGGCTAGTATTATCTTTTCTGTTATTAAAAGTTTATTTCCATTCCAGACTTGTAAAGCAATAAATCACATCAAAAGATATAAATTCTTAAAAAAATATCAGTTGCAAATATGCTTAGCTTCACAACTATAAACTAAATTGGTCAAACATGTTTAACTGGAACTAGAGCTTATTGAATTTATATGTCAAACATGGAGACTAGAATTGGTACCCGAATTAAAACGCAATGACTTAGTAATCGAGAGTTACAATTTTGGCTTTACGTTTTGAGCTTCGCACTCTCTTAAAATATCCTGATCTACATTTTTTAAAAAGTCAGCCTTTACAAGAATACAGCTCTGTATTCATTGGTTCTTCAAGAACTTTAGACTGCAAACTTTTTAAAGTATACATACACACGCAACTTGGTTTTATTAACTCCTGTTAATTGCTAAAAGTTTATATCTCATTTTTTTTAATTGTAAAACAAATGATACTGTGGCGCCAGGCATGGCGCGTGTTCGCCAAAGGAATCAACTGGATGACATACACACGATCGGCAACCTTGTATCTTTCTCCAGTATTTAAGAAGCTTCGAACTTTACTCTGCACGCACACTCATACTTAATTTTACGTTTCTGTTTTATCTTGTTATGTTTCAGTTGTTAATAAATGTTTTGTTGATTTATGTCCTAATTGTCCTCAACTTAATATGCGAGGATTCCTCCCCCTCAATTGGTGACCCTTGTGTTTATTATGTTTTTGAATACGCTATTATCCGTTGTTTTACAATTTGGAATAACTACTTGAATTTGGTAATGTACAATTTCCTCTCTTATTTAGTCAACTGCTTTGCTTGCAGTACTTAAAATTTAAACTGAATGTATAGTAATATCTTTTGTATTGTATAATATTAGACTGAAATTTTTGAACATTATTGTAAGAGACTTTAAATAGTAGTTATTGAATTTGAATATACGGACTTTAAATGCTGTTGCATTTATCTCTTAGTATAACATTTATAGTTCTGAAACATTCTTAGTTTAAATACTTATTTTTACAGTGAATATTTCCATATATCCTCTAGTTATTGAATTGTTCTATTGTATCAAATTATGTATAACAATATCAAATTATGCATTGCTAACGGCACTGCTATTAAAACATTTGGTGTTAAACTTATGTCGCTAGATTTTGCTTTACATCGAAAATTTGATTTTACATTTATAATTGCGAATGTTCCAATTTTGGGCGCAGATTTCTTACGACATTTCGAGTTGTTAATCGATTTTAAAAATACGAAATTAATTGATACGAAAACTTCTTTGGCTCATCAAGGTAAAATCTTTCCTTCCTCAACCCATAGTGTTAAAACAATTTTTGGCAATATTAAATATCACGACTTAATTCAGGAATTTTCTGAAATTACTAGAGTTAGACCTAATTATCTTAAAATTAAGCACGATACCGTGCATTGTATTAACACGATTGGTCCTCCGGTCGCTTCAAAAGTTCGCAGATTGAATTCTGTTAAACTTCAAGCTGCCAAATCTGAATTTGATTTCATGCTGCAACACGGTATTTGTAGGTCATGCAAAAGTCCTTGGGCCAGCGCCCTACACATGGCTCCAGAAAGTAACTCTGATTGGCGACCTACCGGCAATTACACAGCTTCAAACGCCTGTACTCTGCCTGATAAATATCCTTTACCAAAGTTGCAGGATTTTTCTCAAAATCTGTTTGGCAAGAAAGTATTTAGCATTATAGATTTTGTTAAAGCATATAATCAAATCCCCGTAGCAGAACAAGACATTGAGAAAACTGCAGTAATAACACCTTTTGGGTTATTTGAATTTTTGTATCTGCCTTACGGGTTGTGTAATGCACCTCAAACCTTCCAACGTTTCATTAACGAAGTTTTATATGGTTCAGATTTTGTATTTGCATATATTGATGATATTCTCGTGGCAAGTGCAAACGAGACTGAACATTTGTATCACTTACGTTTAATATTTGAACGTTTAAAACAGTATGGTTTAACAATTAATGATTCTAAGTGTATTTTTGGATCTTTTGAAGTACCCTTCTTTGGACATTTAGTAAAGAAGCATGGTGTTAAACCCTTACCACATAAAGTAGATGCAATTGTTAACTATTCTAAACCCAAAACTCTAAAAGATTTACGCAGGTTTCTTGGGTGCTTAAATTTCTAAAGGAGATTTATTCCCAAAGCGGCAGAATTGCATGCCCCGTTAAACTCCTTACTTAGGGGTAGTAAAAAAAACGATAGTAAAACTATTAACTGGACTCCAGAGTTAGAAAATTCTTTCGAAAAATGCAAAGAAAGTATCGTAAATATTACTCAGCTATCTCACCCGGCACATGATTGCCAGTTAGTGCTGCTTACGGACGCTAGTGACATAGCAGTAGCTAGAGCTTTACATGAAAAAACTGCGTCTGGTTACATACCTTTATCCTTTTTCTCCAAAAAGTCAAATAATGCCCAAGTTAAATATTCTGTGTATGACAAAGAGCTTTTGGCGATTTATTTGTCAATAATTCATTTTCGTTATATGTTGGAAGGATGGGTATTTCATGTTATAACTGATCACAAACCTTTGACACACTTCTTTGCCCAAAGTTCTGAAAAGTGTTCTCCTAGACGCTTACGACAACTAGAATTTATATCACAGTTTACTTGTGACTTACGACATTTAGCAGGCGCAGAAAACTTAGTGGCAGACGCTTTGTCAAGAATAGAAGAAATTGCTTTTCCTGACAAAATTAATTATGTGCAAGTTGCAGCTGAGCAGTTGACTGATGAGGAATTGCAGGTATATTTAAAAATTCCAGATGTTACTAATCTTGAATTTAAATTAATTGTTTTGCCTAATTCTGATGTAAATTTGTATTTTGATGTCTCCCAACCTAGTGCTTGTTTGTGTGTACCCATGAAATTTCGAAAAATGATTTTCGATTCTGTACCTAATCTTACACACATCAGTGCCCGATCTACTTTAAGACAGTTATGTAGTACATTTGTTTGGCCCTCAATTCGAAAAGACATTGTTCAGTGGTGTCGCACTTGTTTAAGTTGCCAAAAGGATAAAATACATCGACACGTAATATCTCCATTGGGCAAAATTCCTGTGCCTAATGCTAGGTTCCAGCACGTGCATTTGGACCTGATTGTCCCTTTACCGGTGTGTAGAGGATATAAGGACTGCTTAACTTTAATTGATCGGTTTACACGATGGATGGAGGTGGTACCTCTGCAAGATATCACGGCAAATACAGTAGTGCGAGCAGTGATTTTTAACTGGGTTTCACGGTTTGGTGCTCCTGTTAGAATTTCAAATGATCAGGGAAGACAACTGGATTCCTTTACTTTCAAGAAATTAGCACAAATTCTGGATGTTGATATCATCCGTACAACTGCATGCAATCCTAAGGCCAATGGGATGATTTAACGTGTTCATAGAACATTAAAAGCAGCCCTTATGTGTTATACTTCAGATTCTTGGCTTGACAATTTACCATTAGTTCTCCTGGGTTTGAGAACTGCTGTTCAAAAGGATTGGAACTTCTCTTCTGCTGAGTTAGTCTATGGGCAAACATTGAGAGTTCCTGGAGAGTTCTTTACTAACTCGGGAAATGACATCTCGCAGTCTGAATTGATTTCTCAGTTGCGTAAAGCATTTAGTGAGGTCAAGCCTGTAGCTTCTGTTTGGCATGACAAACGAGTCGTTTATGTGCCTAAAGATCTTCAGACTTGTACGCATGTGTTCGTGTGACATGACGCCGTACGGAGACCATTACAACCTCCGTATGATGATCCATATTTAGTTCTTAAGTTCTTAAGAGAAAATCTAAAATTTATCTTTTGCAGATCTCCACGAAGAAAAAGTGGATTTCCATTGACAGGTTAAAACCAGCGTATTTGCCAGTGGACGAGCCCCACTCTTTAATCCACGGTGATTCTCCTGGCCAGTCTGACTATTCTTCAACTACAACTTCCGAGTCTCGTTTGGCAGAAAAGGTACCGGACTCAAAGAAGTACGTTACTCGGTATGGTAGAAGAGTTCGTTTCAGAATCTGACGACTTTGAAACTCCGGTGGGGAGTGATGTGGCGCCAGGCATGGTGCGTAGTCGCCAAAAGAATCAACTGGATGACATACACACGATCGGCAACCTTGTATCTTTCTCCAGTATTTTAGAAGCTTCGAACTTTACTCTGCACTCACACTCATACTTAAATTTAAGTTTCTGTTTTATCTTGTTATGTTTCAGTTGTTAATAAATGTTTTGTTGATTTATGTCCTAGTTGTCCTCAACTTAATATGAGAGGGTTCCTACCCCTCAATTCTTCTCATGACTGGCCAAAACAAGTTAAGAGTTAACTATAATCACCTGAACAAATATTCTCTAATTGAGCGTAACCTGGAAAGCAGCTGCAGAGTTGCGCACCTTTCCTATTCCATTGGCATGCATAGGAATTTTCACCACAATCACATTTTTCTTCTAAAAATATTAAAATTAAATATGATTTAAATATAAAAAAAAATATTATAATATGCGTTTAATACTCGTAAAATTATTTTAAAATTTATATAAGGTGTTAAATTGAATTACCTTGCTATTCAAAATAAACTAAAATACATTGTAATAAGCCTTGATAAAAAAATAAACTTAAATCGTAAAAATTTTTAAACAGAAACATTTTAATACTCACGCAAATTTTCGGCTTTCATGTTTTTAGCATAGAAGTCATTGAAAAAAATGGATTTATTAAAGTATAAGTAATTTAGAGCTGATGAAAAATGTGTAAAAAGGTTGATAATCATAGTTGGTCAAAAACTGTTTTTCTAGTAGATAAAAGTGAATAAAAAATGATTAAGCTATCAAAACTTGCTAGAAACGGAGTAGGAATTATGCTAGAGAAAAAAATAACTGCCTAAAATTGGATAATCCACAATCATCGGCCTGCTTTTTATACTCCTTGTTAAAGTCCTTGTTAAGAAAGGAATTAAGCAAGTATGCAAACAAGGTCTCTCAATTTAATAATTTAGAGATGAAAGAGCGAAATTATTAGAAAATTCTGGCAAATCACATTTAAAAAAATTGGATGGAAAGCAAACCTGTTTGAGTTTTTAATAAAACTTGTTGCCCTTTTCAAGAATCGTGACATCAATATCTCATATATTTTTGTTAAAAAATTCTTTCAGTCCGCTTTAATATAGTTAGTGAAGTAATTGTTTTTTACATTAGGCTTGGCAATGGTCCTAGGAAAAAAATAATAAAAAGGCTCGCAAAAGAGCACTCTGGGCATTCAAAGCAAGCGATTAGGTGCAGATCAAGAGTTCAGTAGTAATTACAAAAAAAAAAAAAAAAAAAACTTATTAATTCAATAAATAAGTTTAAATAAAAAAATAAGAAAGGAAAATCCCTGATAAGAAATGTCTTAATCAAGTATGCTTATAGGAGCTCGCAATTTAATAACTAAGAGTTGAAAGAACGAAATTATCAGAAAAATCTGGCAAATCACAATTTTAAAAAAAATTGGGCGGAGAGCAATCCTGCTTTCTTATTTTCCAATTTCTGCTTTTTTAAGAATCGAGACAAATGGTTCTAAAAAAGTAAATAATGAAAAGTCTCGTAACAGAGAACTTTGCACATACAAAGCAGACAATTAGGCTCAGATCAAAATTTTAGAAGCATTTAAAAAAAAGTTATCAATTCAATAAATAAGTTTAAATTGAAAATAAGAAAAGAAAAGTCAAGCGAGAAAATAATAGTAAAAATAATAAATAAAATAATATTAATAAGATTAATTTAATGACAGTAAAAAACCTACTTTGATCTTCTGTAGTTGATGTTTCTGTAGTTGTTGCTATAAAAAGAAACATTTTATTAGCTAATATGTTTTCATTACAGTATGAGTAAATATGGATCAACTATTGTCACGATTTGTGCATCGTACAAAGAGCTAAAACACTAAGAAGGAAATTTGCAAGACAAATTGGATTTCAAAGGATTTTGCAGGGAAAATTCAAGAAGTTTGTGGTATAAATCTCTTTTAATGCTTTTATCAACTGTAATTTCAGAACTTAGTCATGATTGGAAAATATAAGTTTGTTTTGCTCAAATTTTGTATTTTGCCTAGTAAATAGTCATTCAGTAACCTCTAAATTTTCTAGGTCTACATATGTATACCATCCCTTCTTAGATTTTAAAAGCACGCTTAAAGAAAATTCGTAGATTTACCCTCACTGCGGATTTTTAAGCTTTCAGAGGATTTCAATAGTAATAGAGTAGAATAGAAAAAGAAATACAAATAGAATAGAAATAGAAATAGAAATAGAAATAGAAATAGAAATAGAAATAGAAATAGAATAGAATAGAAAAGAATAGAATAGAATAGAACGGAAAAAATTGAATCTAAATATTTTTTCTTTTGACTTAGGGGGATCTGTATGAAAGTTTTTTGAATGTATATTTATTTCATACTAGCTGAATACCCGTTTTTTGCACGGGGAGAGTAAAAAATCAATAAATCCGTATTGAGAAACACTACGAAATCATGCTCAAAACTGAAAATCATATACCGACTCAAATAAAGTACTCGGAAAGAAGTGGAAGAACTAGGGAAGAACTAGGAAAGAACTAGGGAAGAACTCGGAAGTGGAAGAACTAGGAAAGGGAAATTTTCAGGGAAATTAATGAATCATAGAAAATAAAAGTGGTTGCATCAATATGGGTATGTTTAATGTAACAGAACTGTTTTTGACTGCACTCAAATCTTAACATGACTAATTACATCAGCATTTAGTATGCTTGCATGATTTTTGTTTCAAATTAGGCAGGGGTAAATAAATAAAAACAAAGAAATATTTGTCCCGCTTTCTAATAAATTGGTAATAAAATAGTTCGGATACAATTTTGTTTAGTTCTGAAAATGTCACTTACATGGTTCTTCCATTAAGTTTTTCAATTAATATAGTTAAAATAATAAATTTTTTTATTTAATATTATTTGTTGCCCTTTTTGGTGGCTTTGCGTTATTGAAATAAGCAAAACCCGTTTTTGTAGTTTATCCCACTGGAACAAAGATAAAAGGTATTTAGTGCAATTTTGCATGATACTATTTCACTGTCAAGTGATTCTCTAAGGTACATATACCTTTCGAGGATAGTAAAATGCCTATTTCCAAAGTATCAGTATGAAAACTGCTAAGTATTAGTGCTGTCCTAATAATCTCCAAATATATCTATATAATATTAGTATATTTGGAACATATTACATAACCCTTCAACATATAAGGTTTGTGAAAAATATATTTGTCAGTGACAGCCAATTAAAGCCATTTTTTAAAAAAAAAAAATTGCATTTTTTTTTGGAATTTGATAAGAATTTTGAAACGTGGACGTTTTCTATCTGACCTTAAATTTACTACTAAAATATTTATAAGTAGTGAAGTAACAAAGTTCTTTTAATTCTAAGCTTCTTTCTTTATACACTGTAGAAAAACTCGGTATATCTTTAGCCAGTATTTGGTGCAACGATTCTCATTGTCCTAAAGTTTAGTAAAATAGGAGATCATTTAATCTTAGTTACGCCATAAATTCTGAAGTATGATTGAGAAATACTTCCATGGTGCAACTGGTTGCACCAAAATTTGGAAAAAGACATAAAACTTTGACTGTGACTGTAAACTGAACGGTATTTGTTCACGACGGCATGTTTTCTTTACAACTCGGTCTTGGTGTATCGGGACAACTAATGCATGTTGTTTCAGGTTTCTATTTATTTGGTTAGGAAAATGGCTTTTTTGCAGGAATTGAAGCTCTTTTCTCTTATGTTTCCTTTTCAAATTTGGTTGACGGTATAAAATGGTAAGAGATATGTCATTAAATACCTTCTTACGGTACTATGCCTTGGCCTGCATTTGAGTGCTTTAAAAATACCTAATTATGGTGAAACTATCCACTGATTTTATAAAAAAAAAGAACAATAAAAATCGATGTTTTGTTTCTTCAAAACACCAACATTTCGTACAATCTTCAACTGATATTTGGAGCTATTGAAAATATCAAAATATGGTAAAAATCATCAAAGTGTTTTAGAAATCATTTTACGTTATCTTATTTAGAGATGTAAAACATGTAAATCAAGTTTCATTTTAAAATAGGATATAGAATGTACAGTTTTTTTGAAACATTCTAATCATTGCCAATTCTACTTACTTGATGTTGAAGATTTCAAAGGTTGTTCTGTTGAAACTTTCCAGGTAGAGTAGGACTGTGAATTATTAAATAATAAATAATATATAGAGTGTTCTAAAAATCAGTTTCCGTTATCCAATTTAAAGATCTAATTAATGTAAGTTGAGTTTTTAATTTATTCTTTGTTTTCATTTTATAATAGAATGTGGACTGCGTAGTTTCGTTGAAACATTCTAATCATTGCCAATTCTACTTACGTGATGCTGAAGATTTCAAAGGCTGTTCTGTTGAAACTTTTAAGGTAGAAGTAGGACCTGCGAATTAATAAATAATGAATAATATATAGTGTGTTTTAAAAAACATTTTAAGTTAGCTTATTTAGAGATGTAAGACATGTAAATGAAATTTAATTTTATAATAGGTTATAGAATGTACAGTTTCTTTGAAATATTCTAATCTTTGTCATTTCTACTTACTTGATGTTGAGGAAGATTTCAAAGGTTGTTTTGTTGAAACTTTCAAGGCAGTAGTAGGACCTGCGAATTGGTAAATAAAAAATATTAGGTATTGTATTTTGAAAACAAGTTTACTCTGGCGTATTTATGAATGCAATGCATATGAGTTATGCTTTTAATCAATTCTTCGTTTTCAACCAATAATAGGATATGGAATGTGAAATGATTTTGAAACTTTCTAAACTTTCCCATTTGTTTTCACTAGTTGTTTAAGATTTCAAATGTGGTTCTGTTGAAACTTTCAAGGTATCAGTAGAGCTTGCTGTTTAGTAAATAAAATATATTAAGTATTGTGTTTTGAAAACCAGTTTATAGGAGCTTTTTTAGGATGCTTTACATATAAGTCACGCTTTCATTGCGTTCTTTTTTTTCATTTTATATTAGGATACGTGATGTGTAAGTGTAATTTATTTGAAACGTTCATGTTTTTTTCTTTTTGACTAACTTGTAGAAGATTTTAAAGGTTGTTCTGTTGAAACTTTAAAAGAAGTTTTAGGGCCTTCAATTTAGTAATTAAAAGATATTAGGTATTGGTTTTTTAAAATCACTTTAATTCCTATTATGAAAAGGGGTGTAATTTAGGTTAAGTAATATATGTTGCGTTTTTATTCCACTTTATTTTCCTTTTATAATAGAGTGTAGCATGTGCAATTTCTTTGAAATTGCGCATGCTACACTTCTTTTACATGCTACAATTTCTCTGAATTTTGTTGAAACTTTCAAAGGTGTAGTAGGGCCTGCGATTTGGCAAACAAGAATCATTAGGTGTTAAGATATTGGATAAAGAATACTAGGTATTTAGTATAAAGAAAATGTTTAAGTTTTTAATATTTATTCGATTTTTTTTTATTTGGAAAATCTAATTTTTACTAACAATTTTAAACAATGGTTTCTTTTAATTCTAGCACATTAATCCCCAAAACCCATTTTGATAACATCAGAAAAAAATGTGTTATCATATATATATATTTAATTTGTTCATTTTAATATAATATTACATTTGCTAAAGCAATATATGTTTCATCGATGAACTGGTATTTCAAACTTCAAATTTACTGCACTGGGCCCTCATTTTTTGTATTGATTCAAGAAAATTGTTAAACAATCTAAGTGGATTATTTAAAAAAAATCCTGTTGTTATAAAAAGTATACCAAACTATTTTACATATATGCATAAAACTGTCAAGCAACATCTTTTGAGGCAATCTTATCTAGGTTTCAAGTTTTAATGTCTGCTTATTAAAGTTGATTTATGTGAGATTTTGGATTGAAATTTACTTGGGATTTAAATGTATTAAAGTTTTAAAAGAAATGCAAATTAGAGATATTAAAAAATATTGTCCTTCCTTTCAGTTTTTTAATAAGGGAGTAAGTAAGAACTTCAGAATGAACTCTGCTTGACTTATTTTTGTTTATTGAAACTACTAATGCTTTAAGAAAACGTACTTATGCGGTATAAAACATTGAACTGTCTTGCCACATAGTGACTACCAATCCTCTTGGAATTCTAGGAAGTTATTTATCGCTAAATCAGATTTTTTAAAATTAAGCGTGCAGAAAAACGTCCAATTTACATCGCATAATTTATACAGTTGTGATTTTTGCACAAAAAGATGCTTCTCAAGGACTGACCTGTAATTTTCCTGACCTGTAAATACATAACAAAGCAATTTTATTCTGCGGTCGAATTTAAGGCTGCCACGATACTGGAGTAATACTGGAATAATATTTATACTACTCTTTGCCACGGTTTAGTACATTATAAGCAACATTAAATATTTCATGCCTAATATAAATCTAGGTGGAGATATCTGCAGATTAGGAGCTATGACTTTGTTTCGAAAGTATACTTTTTTACCCTGTTTTTTTATGTATGCATTTTTTTGCCAGGTTTATCTTAATTTTAAATTATTTTTATTATATTTTAGTGGATAGAAAGTTAGTTAGGTATTGCTAATTTGTGTTTGGATATTTTTTTTCTAGTGTACATCTTTGGGTTTCATTATTTTTTTCCTGTGCTCTCTTGCCTCATAAAACTAAAGGGATTATATTTCAATGGAACGCATCCTATAATATTTCGGCGAATAAGAATAAATTGACAGTCTAAAAACTTGTGCAAGATAGAATACTTTCTTTTGACGCACAAAAACATCACAGTATTTTTTTTATCTAAAATATATCTTTTTACGTGCTTGTAAAGAAGAGTAGCGGGTTTTCAGTTTGGATTTCAGTAGTTTCTTACTGATGCATAACCTACTTTAAATGTCTTAAGAACTATTTTATAGGTATTTATCCTAAATGTGATCTAGAATTACGATGATCCAGTAGAAATTCCAGATATCTGAAAATCAAAAATGTTTAGAATTTCACATTTATTTCAAAATAAGTGAAGTTTACAGCAAAGGGCTCAACTCGTGAGTCAACGAAGTTTCTCATAAAAGTGAAATTATATCTTGAACAGTTTTTTTCAAGTGGATATTTAAATTCTTTTTTTATCAGGAATCATCCATCCCAGCTCACAGTTAAACTTAGAGATAATAATAAGACTGTTCTTTAAACTTGAACTAGTATTCTAGATTTTTTGTTCTTTATGTATTTTTCAATTTAAACTAATGCAGAATTATTTTTGTATCGAGCTTTGGATAATGAAGATACTTAATCTGCAGTATATATTTAAAAAAGAAATATTGTGAATTTCTAAATGTTAAAGACCAGCACTATTGCATTCAAACTTCTTTTTATTTAGTTCTAAGAACAAAGATTTTCATTTTGCAATCACTGGAATAATGAACACTTTGAAATATCTTAAAATATACAAAAATTTTATTTCAATCTTTAAATACACAATTTATTTTAAATTTCAATACTCACTCTTAGTTGTGACATCGATTGTTGAATTTTCGCTGATTCCCTCTGTTGAAGATGATGCATCAACTACAAAATTTATGCTGCTTTATGCACTGATAAATTAACTAACAAGACATTGAAATTGAATTGGCATTTTAATTTATTTTCGAATTCATCCAATACAAATAAATGACAGCAAACTAAAGATAAATAATTAAGAAATTGTTATAAATTTAATAGGATTAAATGATTTATTTAAAGTGTTATAAGTACAAAAGAAACTCTATAACTTCAAGTATGACTCCAAATTTATGTAAATTATTTTATGTTGTGGTCGCTTTTGGAGAATAAATTTATTTCAGAATTTGTCAGATTTGCTCTAAAGCGTTTATAAATCTAATATCAGTTTCATTTCTTTTATTTACAAAGTAAAACACTTTATAATATCGTTTATATAAATTCATTGTGTAAAGTTCAGCTAAAGAGGTGGGTCAAGATAGTTAAATTGTCTTCAGGCTAGTGGGAAAAATAAACGTCAGTCGGCAAAGTTGACAAATGAAATCGGTTAAGAAATATGCATGATTTAACCCTGTTTTAACACCTTCTAAAGCCTAAAAATTACACTAAATTGCTTAAAATTTTAAGCAAAATTAAATAAATTACACTTTTTGTTCATTGGTTAATTCTCAATTACAAAACAAGTTAAAATTCTCTTCACAAACACTTCTGCACGCAATTTTAGAATCACACATTAAAATTTTCTGTTACTTCAACGGCGATGGATTTTGGATACTAAACAGTTGTATTTCTTTTGTTCGGGAGTGAATTAAATGCGAAACTTTATTAAAAATATTCCTTGCACATCAACAATTCTACGTCTTGTAAGTGGCAGAAAATGTTAACGTATAATTCTAGAATGTTGCTCATATATTGTGAACACAATAGTAACTTATAAGCACTATTGTAAGTCAGTTAACAAAATCAGTGCTTTTATAAATTTTTGAATGTTAAGTATTTTATAGCATCAAGTATTTTATTGGCTTTTGGCCCAATAAGCTCAGACTAAAAAAAGTTCTATTCCATTAAAACAATCGCAAACTTTGCAAGGATAGTTGTAGGTAAATTCTATACCCTACTACTGAAAGGGAAATAAGGAATAAAGTAAATTTAAAAATGAAGCATTAAATCTGATGCTATTTTAGGATTCGTTTTTGCTTTTTACTTCGGAGCGAAGAAAAAAAAGGCCTGCTAAATATCAAGATGAACAATTATAACATACAGCTCAATGTAATAATGAGTACATGAAATACCAAAACTTATCAACAAAATGAAAAAAACAGTTCATAATGACGTAGTAATACGTAGAAGAGATTCATCTGTGATAGAAAAACAAATATCTTCAGCCTTAAAACAAGGCAAAATTTACAGAAAATAATTAATGTTCCTGTAAATTTATTTCAGTTCTTTACATATTTACAATTTACTTTTTAATTATCAGAAGAAAACATTTTGTGTTTTTTTAATGTTTATTAGAAAAAATATTTTGAGGAATAAAAACTAAGATCAAAGAACTTTGCAATTTCACTATAAAAAGAAATTTTGAAACCTTTTTTTAAAATGAACAGGCATATATTTTCCTCACGATATTTTTACACATAAAAGAATGAAATTGAACTTGATGTGGAAAAAAATTTAAGTCAAAAATATTTGTTTAGTGTTTTGAAAAACCTGTATATTCCTTCATTTTTAAACCTGTTGTGTAATAATGCGTTTCATTTATATTCGTATCCTTGGTTAATTTTCGTTAGACTTGCGCTCCTGCGAAAGAATACTCTGTTATACAATGATTAAATTAACATATTGTTATTGTATCTTAGTCAATGTGTGAATGTAATGCTTCAATTTAGCTTTTCGTCAATTCCTTTTGTTCGATATTTGTTATAAAGAATTTAAAAAATCTTTTTTTCAGACTTTGAGAATCACGTAGAAGGAAATTTACAATAAAATGACGTTTAAGTACAGAGAAAGGAGTTTAGTTATCACACTTTTAAAAATTAATATAATGTATTATTTGAAAATTTAGGAAAATTTTTTCAGTTTGATGTTAAATATATGCTTTTACCTATGCAGTTGCTATTTTTTAGTTTATATCCAGGTTCACAGATGCAACTGTAGCTAGATTTGTCTTGTTCTTTATTAACACATATCCAGTGTTCTCCTTTTGCTTTACATATCTTGCTACCTTTTATTTCTTCGCATCCTATATTTTAGGGGGAAAGAAATTAAATTTATGTGTGATTCTTCAACTTACAGGAGCATGAATTGTTTTTTCTGAAAAATATCTGTTTCTTTTTTAGTCTAAGAATTTATCATATTTTACCCGCATGCGCAGGATGAGGAATTATTTGAATTTTCCACTCCTATTTCTTTCACCACGTAACATTCTAGGGGATAATTTAAAAATATTTATAGTGAAGAGCTTCAATGACTAGTTAACTGAGAGAGAGGCAACATTTTTCTGTTGAATTGAAAAATTATATACAAAATTTAGATACAGTATTATATGTATTTTTAAAAACCGTAATTTTAGACAAGAAACCAAAATATACCATGCCTTTTTGGCATGTTTGTAATTACATTGAAAATTTATTTTATCGAGGAGAAAGGAACAGGGGCAAACGTACTTTTTTTTTTACTTTAACACTTGGAAACAAATAATACGTACAACATTTTAACAATCTTTGTAATTGCTCTGAAAACTTTCTCAATCAAGAGGTAAAAGTGACCTTTTACTCATTCAAATTGGATTACTCGTTTCAATAATTATGCTGTAAAACAATTATTTCTTTTGAAAAATTACAAATAGAAGGTATAAAATGATGGTTTTGAAAAATTAACGAAACCCTTTGTTACAAAACAATTTATAAAGGCAATAAATATAAATGCCAAATTTTCAAGTAAATATCCCATTGTAATTATTAGCCATTAAAGATGCTACACCAGGGAAATGACACGCCAAACTGGTAAAATTTTTATATAAAATAAAACATGGTGTGATTTAATTAAGTAGCTGTTGCGACACCTATAATGCTCGTATAAACAGAGGTCCGACAGAAGCTTCCTCAAACTCAATTTGCACTTGAACATTATTTTGAGTTTAAAAATATTTTGTGAATCCTCCTGTATGAAGAAAACATGTTTACCATCCCGTGTTTGACTTTGATAAAGAAAATATTATAGCCAACNAATAGAAGGTATAAAATGATGTTTTTGAAAAATTAACGATACCCTTTGTTACAAAACAATTTATAAAGGCAATAAATATAAATGCCACATTTTTAAGTAAATATCCCATTGTAATTACATTGTATTCCAAGTGAATATCCCTTTGAAATTCCCATTGTAAATACAGAATGACTCATACGAGTCTTTCTATATTAAATGATAAGCTTAAAACAGATGTCTCTTATCAATTTTAAGATATTAAAGTTGGTCTCTCACAAAGAGCCATAAAAAGTTAAGAGACGAGATAAAAGATTATTTTCTGAAGTTAAAGGCAATAATTCGTAGATGAAGTACGCATTAAGATAGTCCCAAAAACTCCACAGCAGCACAATGGCGCATCGTTTTAGCGAATCAAAATCTCTAAATTTTATCATTTTAATGACGTTTCATTAGGAATAGAATATCCTTGCGACCACCTCCGTTTTCAGAACCCCCGTTTAAATATCGGGAACACCAAAAATTCGTGGTTTTTCATATTTTCATGGCTAGATAAATCTGTGTCCAATCCCAACTTTCCTGCTAGGGAAATCCCATCAATGTAAACAGCCAAAGAAAACTGTTTTAAATAACTTAAGATCAATTAATAAAATGCCTCTGGGACAGGTTAAAAGACACCCTGCTTTTTAAGTGTTCTTGAAAAAAAATTTTATATTCAAGCATTCGAAAGCAATTCACCTTCCCGGCATCTTGTGTCTGAGAAACCCGGAAGACAATTACATTTGAATCTTCCGCTCAGTGTTGTTTCACAAGTTCCACCATTTCTACAGATTCCAGGGTTATTATAGCATATGTCTGAAAACAAAAATATCTGATTTAATGAAATCTAGGAAAAGAATTAAATCACACAAAAATATCGAATTTATCAAGATAGAAGAAAGAATTCCCTGTATTTGAGCGAAAGCAACTCCATAAAAACAGGCAAACAATGAAATTTTCATTTGTCAAGAAATTTAAGTTGATACCGGAAGATGACGTCAGCCTGTCCATCAGCGCTTTGCGCATGCTCACAGAGAATTTCCCTTAGATCAGATTGTGATATTATAAAATTCCTTATAAGAAATCTCTTATGAAGTTTTGCTTGAGATTAAGACGTTTTGTTTATATTAAACTAATATGAAAATTAACTATATTGAAAATTTTAACTGAAAAATTAATATTTAATTAATCAAAAAAAAATTAATTTTTTTTACGAAATTGAAATCAGTTGTGTAAAATAATAGTTCGTGAGAAAATGTATATTTTAAAAGTATAGCATTTTAAACATAGATCATTCTCTCTAAATAAAACAAGACAAGAAATAGAGAGTTTATAAATATGGAATTTTTATATGACAAATAAGAAATCTAAATAAAAAAAATGCTTAATAAATAAATTAAATTTATGATAAATGTATACTTTCTCTGACTCTCTAATTTTGACTTCTGATTCGAAAACTTAAGACGAATAAACACATGTAATAAAATAATTATACTTTTCCTTCAACTGTAATAAAAGTGTGTAAAAAATATTTTTCTTTTATTCATAAAAATTTTTATAGTTTTGATAAAAAGCTACATGAAATGAATTTCATTTTTATATTGGCACTTTACTAATTCTTACAAGCAAAAGAAGAAAAAAAATTAACGTCATAAGTTACATGCATATTTTAAGTAGCTAAATCAAAATAGTTATTGAGAGAAGACAACGATTTATAACTTTTATAAACACGCGCGCGCGATTAACATTAGTAATTCTAGATATAAATACTTGTTTAAAAAGTTGGAAATTCTTAAAATTGCTAAAGAAAATTTAATAGTAAATATTTTTTTTCAATAAATAAAGTTGAAGTCTTAAAAGCTTTGCCCACTTTTATAAAAAAATTCATTTTAGTATTTTTCTAGATTACACATCTTTTATTATCCTCTTAGGCATTTTTCTTTGAACTGTCAACAATCAATAATATCTAGGAATCAAAATAAATAATGATCTAGATGTTAAATGAAATATATACAGAGCCTGGCCATATTAGTAGACGCACTATAAGATTCTATGTAAAATTATAATTATCAGGTGATACTATACTGTTGTGTCGTTTTTACTCTGATGAAACCGGTTTGCATTTGTTTATGTTCCTGTATCAATTGGTTAACATTATATTGCAATACGGTAAAAAGGAATTCAAATAGGAAGCATATAAGTATTTAAAAAATCTCCTGAATAAAAACCCAATACATGTATGTTTAAATATAAAAGTATTGTATATAAACTCGTGCAAATATTTAATTATTTAAAAAAACTACAAAGCGTCTAATAATTTGATCTAACTATTATAATATACTATTATAATGTTTGATGTAAGAAATATTCTATATTTATAAAATATATCGTCTAATTTAACCAATTGATACACTAACGATTGATACACTAACCAATTGATACACTATTCAAAAAAGTACTCGTATATTTTTGTGTCTGACTTTGTAACTAAAAATATTGTCAACCATAATTAATCAGAATTCATCGCTATAAACCCTTAAGATTGAGGCTAGTACGCAAAAAATCTGATCATTAGATTAAATGTTATTCAGGGCATTTCATTTTTTTGGACACAGTACATAAAAATGTAGCTTCATTTAGCTATAAGATTGACACATAAATAAATCTACATTAATGTTAAAAAAATTTTTTGTGTCATTGATAGAGTTCATAGGTTTGGCAAGTAAAAAAAGAAATAGAGTTAAATTTAATTTTAACGGAAAAAAGTTAATTATAATAAAAATGTATCGCTTTTGTTAGTTATTAATATTTTGTCGATATTTAATTAGACAGAAGTATGGAATAAGGATCAGATCTATGTGATATTTAGTCTCCTCGATTTATTTAGTAACTATATTTAAAATGAATGCATTTTAGCAAGACCATCCTTTGTCCTTTTTTTTCTCTTACCACTGTTCTAGCTTTAATATATAATAGAAAATACACTCTTTTTTCAAATTTGTCGACCATCTGCTACAGATTGATGATAAAAAAGTCTGAATCTTTATTAAAGTCATATTCGAACTGGATGAGGTAAGTATCTTGACCATTGTTAATTTATTTAGCACATTTTCAGTCAATTAACTATGGGATATTTTGACTGTAACTTTTCTTTTAATTCTGAGTATTCGATATGGAAAAAAATAATGCATGATGAGGCTGCTTTTACTAAATTCCGTGATTCAGATTAATACGATTGCGTACTCTCTACCACCCATTTCCGCTACATGTTTACAATATAGTACGGGGGTAAAATGGTTTCATAAGGAAGCAAATACTTATGTTACTAAAACGAATCGCGTACAAGGATGATAATCTTCAAGGTAAGAAAAGTTGACAACGTAAAAGAAAGGTAATATAACTATATATTAAGTATAAATCAAGTACATTGAAAAATTGACATTTCAATTTAGGATATTTTAAATTGAAATGTCAATTTACAATTGAATTAGCGAAGAATAATTAAAACTCTAAATAGATATTTAGTTGGATTAATGAATTTATATAATACTAGTGGGCTGCGCCCACTGCTCGCTAACGCTCGCCAACCCCCGAAAATTGCTACGTAATCTTATATGGTTTGTTTCGCAAACCAAGCTCGCTTCGCTCGCTTCTAACTTAGGTACATTGCAAATGCACAAAATTCTAAGAATTCAAAACAATCATTCAAATTCATGTAAAAACTTTTTTTTTTAAAAAAAAGTACATCTTTTTAGTAAATACTGAGTCATTAAAATAAATTTGAATTCAAATAAATGACATGATTTTCGTTAAACCTATTAGCAATGTGCTATAGTATAAAATCTTAAGACAAAATTTCTAAAACTAATATCTCTTTAAAAAGGTTAAAATTTTGGCTATAATTAAGTCTATTAAAAATTGAAATAAGTGAATTGCAATGGAAAAACCTACGTAAACAAATAAATTCTAGTAAAACAAATAAATTCGTGATATAAATCAAAAATCGTCAAATAAATTCGTAACATACAAATTCGTGAAAAAAAGAGCTTTCGACAAAATACTAAAATAGATGATGATTACCGACAAAGACTACTCACTTCAGCCAAGCTTATGCTCTCTCTGGTTATTTCAGTTTCCGTTTTTAAAAGCGCTATATGTTGAGCCATCTCAGCTAGATTTGGCATGTGACATTTTTAGCGGCAACCATTGGTCGATTTTCTAGCGTTGCCATTCGGGGAGTTGTAATGAAGCTTTTTTTTGTCGCCGTGTAAGAGAAATATATATATAGATTAAGGTAATTTTAACAGTTGAATTGTAATTGAAATGTCAATTTACAATTGAATTAGCGAAGAATAATTAAAACTTCAAATAGATATTTAGTTGGATTATAGAATTTATTTAATATTAAGGTAATTTTAACAGTTTTATTATCACGAAATAAATTAAATGTATACCATCTTTATCACAATTTTTTCCAACAAATCCTGTAGTACATTTGCACTCGTAAGATTTATCTACAATTTTACATACGGCACCATTCATACACGGATTTGAAGAACAAGGAGTTTTCACAATATCTGAAAAATGAACAGTATGAATTAAAAACGGGTAATAAGTTAACAGTGTAATATAATTTTTTTACTGTTTATTATTTTTAATGTGAAATATAATGAAACGCAATAAATGACTATGTAACAACTCTTGGTCTAATCATAGGATATTTTTAGTAAAAAGGTTTGGTGAGATGCTGAAAAGCGGATTTAGTGACGAAAACGGAACTATATCATTAGTTTTTTTTCAAGTAAGGTCTATAAAAATCGTCGATTGCTTTGAAATATCTACATTTCCTTAGTCTAAGGAACTATTCTTAAAGTTTTTCTTCCTTTATTTATATGTTTTATTTTCAATTATACGTTTTAGTCGTAAGTTGAGGGATTTTAAAAAAGACTTAGAATTAAAAAAAAAGAAATTTTTCGAACGAATTCGTCCCACCTTCTAATAAATTAATTCTGATACAGCTTCTTTTTCTGCTCTGAAAAATATATTTACCTGGTTCTTCTACTTCTTCCACGGCTTTACGTAATTAAAGTAAGCAAAGCTCGTTGCTTGCAATGCATACCATTGGAATAAAGATAAAATGCATTTAGCATCACTTGGCATGACGTTACTGCTCGCGACCGATTCATGATAGTTAAAATTTACCACTAAGAGTGATTTTCTTAGGTACATATCCCTTAAAGTAAGCATCATGTGCTGATCCCTATAATTAAGCATCATTGGCATAAAAAAGCCTCATTTTTCATGTTTTTCATGAACAAATTAGTACCATTTTCCCAATAATTTTGCTTTTGAATATATAAATAACTATTTTTATATTTCATTACCCTTTTTTTAAATGATTAATTATTTGAAACACGTTTAAAAGGATTAATATAAATAAAATAAAAGCGCGTGGTATAAGACAAAGTATAAAGTTGATGACATAGACCACGTGTGCCATCACGTAATGTGCCTTGAGTTTATCTGACATAGAAAATATAAAATAATTAAATATTTCAATACGTGCAATAAACTTTTTTGATTAAATAGAGCTATAAGCTAGCAATTATCACTGATGTTATCGTTAAAATATGTGAGAAATTGAATCGTTAAATTTAAAACAATGACTAATGCTTAGCCAATCAGAAAACTCCAGTTCGTTTTCTGCTCATCCCGCTCCAACGGTTTGTCGTTGTGCGTTCTTATGTCGGCAGTGACGTTCCTAGTTCTTTGAACGATTGATGTGCCAAGTTTCATATCTTTCGGTCGGATGGTTTAGGAGTCTATAAAGGACACACCCACTGACATGTATTTTTCTATATATAGTATATAGATTAATATGGTTGTTTCAAGCTAAATGAGTGTAACCAGCATTGCATTCCCGAGAAAAATTAGACGGAATAGAATTCCGATAATGGCTATAAGGAGTATTGACCGACGAGTTCGCGTATAGAACATTTGAATACGGGTGTGTACAAACATTAGAGGGATCGAGTACCGCCGTAACACTGGTTGTATCATTATGATGTCCTTTTTTTAATTTGTGACCATTGTTTTTCAAACTAAGAAGGGTTTACATACAGTACCTTACAAGGAGATAACAAACTTCCTTAAGTATGTTTAACTGTGACAATAAATAAGTACATAATTAAATGATTTTTATGTTGTATTTATCTTCATTTTTAATTAAAAAATCAAAGGAACATGCGCACCGTTAATTTTGCCAACTTTAATATTTTTCAACGAAAAACATACTTTTTAAAACAGTGATTTGAGGGAGTATATTCAAATTTCAAAGGATTGCTGATTAAAATTTTGATGTGAAATTAAAAATTAAGTTTCATCAACTCAAAACAATTAAAATAAGAAAAAAAGAAACAGTTATTAAGTTCGCAAAAAATAATAATATCGTTCAAATTTGGTAAATTTTTATAATATTGCGAAGTTGAAACAAATTATCGTGCTTTTTGAACTTGGTTGCATAAAATCAAATCAACCTGAACTAATATGCAGCTCGATTTAGCACCTTTCATATTATTTACGATTTCATTCTCGTAACTGTAAAATAATTAAATTGCAGCAAATTCGAACTATATGATGGATCACATTACCAATATTATGGTTAAACATGAAGCATATTTTTCTGCGACTGGACAACAATTTTTCTCTGAATAAATATGATACATTGAGTAATCTTGTAGAATAAAAATAACATTACGAAAGTGAAAATAATGAATAGAATAATCTTAAAGAATAGAATAATCTTAAAGAATAGAATCAACATTATGAGAATAAAAATAATAATTATTTTCGAATTTATTTTCTTGAAAAAGTCATTTAAAAATTTTACAAAAGTCTTTGCAATCGCACTTCTTGTAACATTTTTCCGCATCACAAACTGTCAACTTTTCTTTCTTCTCTCTCCCCTCTAAATGTGATATCATTTGCGGAAGGCCCTGCTGTACCCTTTAAGTGTAATAAGTATATTACTTTCTGCTGCTACTAATTTACTTTATTGTAAACAGAAAATGTATCAATACAAAATCTTCTTTTTTTGTTTTAAAATTGTTTGCATTATTTAAATGCAAATTCAACTACATTTTGAGAAAATTTTCATTCAATTACCTTTGCAATTTCTTCCGGTAAATCCTTCCAGACAGTCACACTTGTACATTCCTGGTGCAACATCAACACAAGTGCCACCTTTTCCGCAAGGATTATTAGTACACGGTCCTGTAAAAAGTTTTAATCGCAGCGTTACAGTTGCTGTCTTGAAACAAAATAAAATTATCTTCGAAAAAAAAACAGAAGAGAAAGGTCAAAAAAATGTTAGCTTGTAATAATGAAATGTTACTATTTTCTCTGCAAAACGTGCATCCTCCTTTAATTAATATGCATGCTAATGATTTCTTCTACTATACATGTTTATGACTCATTCTTCTTTTTTTTTGTTGTTGCATGAAACATAGTGCGTTGCAAATAAAAGTTTCCTAGCTTGAGTATGCATTCTTTAATTTTGCAACTTGGTTTCGTTAATTTGAGTGTTTTAGCAGTATATTCGCAGTTGTCAGTTATGTAATTAAAATGTCTCTGAACCATTTCTGCACAGAGACACACCATAATAATTGAACTGCGATGCACAATACCCCGTTGTCAACCTTTATGCCATCACCTTATTTTTGTTTCACGGTGCCTTGCGTTAGCCTTTTTTAACTGTAACTGCTAACTTTGCCGAGCTCGCATATCTGGATCGACGCACACGCCATTGTTGATCGTGCTTGATGTAGGTAAGCTTGCTTTTCAACGTATTTTTTTCCTTCTCCGCATGTTCAAGAAATAAAGTTGCTATTCTTATATTGTTGGTTTTTGGTTTTTTCAGACATTCGTTCATGCCATCTAATTAATTCGGATAAGATATCATCGTTATGTATATTTCGAATAGTTTGATGGTGGAGTGTATCGAAAAGGGAACACATACCCCATTATAAGGATTATTCTGTTCCGATGGTGTCCCTGAACAGTCCAGTGCCTTCTGAAAAATGATGCTGCAATAAAAATGCCAGTGGTTTCTGGTAAAAACCTGATCTCAGCAATCGACCTACGATCCTGGGGAGGTTTGATGATACAGTCCCTCATCTTCCTTTGGGAATTTATTGCCTGTAGCAGCGACAGAGTTACCTTAACTGGTGTCTTGATAAAGATCTAAGATCGACTGTTTTTTATTTATTTATTTCTTTCTATTTTTTCACATCATATCATCACCATGACAGAAGAATCTTCAGAAGGTTCGCATATTCCCTGCTCCTCACGCTCTATCATCAAACTATTTCTAAATATATATACATATAAACGATTACATTATCCGAATTAATAGGACTGCATAAAAGTCTAAGAAAAGCCAGGACAGCTAAACATAAAAAAATGTAACTTCAATTTCCAGAGCAAATGGAGAAGGTGAAGGACACGTTTAAAAGCAAGATTACCGTGTTTGAGCATGATCAACAATGGAATGTGCGTCGATCAGAGTATTCGAGCTCAGCAGGATTAATGGTTACAGTTAATAAATGCTAATCATGCGCGGCGTTACACATTCGATTCAAAATTTTTCTCTTCGCCTTTTGTTTTATAAGTTAGTGATAAATTAGGTTTTAATGACTGATTTCTTTGTTTAGACATCAAAGGCCGAATGGAGAGGGCACAAAATTTGATATTTAACATGCGTATACCTCGGGTTCGGGAGTATTCGGCTTTTAATTAATCCTAAGTATCTCGATATATGTTTAAAATTCTTCGAACTTGTGTGAGATTGAGCCTCTGAAAAAAAAGCTGGATTTCATCTTGGGAAGTGATACTAGAAATATTTTGTATATATTGGACTTAGCACTTTTTGTCTACCTATGTACAAACCGGAACAATATATATTCTAATTAGCTAGCGAGAAGATATTTTTAGTCACAAAATCAGATACAAAACTTGAGATTTATTGGACAAAAACATGAATTTTTAAGACAGATTCAGAGTTTTACTCTCAAAGTGTGGGAAGAAGACGCAACCTGGAAAATATGTTCTCATTACTTCAGTTAGGATAGTGCTCGAATATTTGAAACATATAATGTTAATTTTACTTTTTAAGCTTTATTCTATTCCTTTATTCTTTTCTATTCTATTCGAAAGAAAGTTTTTTCGGACACTATCGAGAAAAAGTTTTTAAAACTTTTTAATTTTGTGAGTAGAATAATTATTTTATGTTTTATTAAAAACAAATAAATCAAATAAATTTTATCAAATAAAGCTATGATTATAAAATCATCAAATTCATCAACTAGATAGAAAAATTGCTTCACTTTTTTATTTGCTCAAATAGTTTTCCTGAGCAAAAAGAGTTAAAAAATAATTTAACTGCGAAAATTAATTTTAATTGTTTGATAGTTGTCTTTAATAATCTGTATAATAAGATTGTGTATAATAAGACAAAAATATAATGATATGTATTGAATCAAATAATTATGGTGACTAAAGTTTCACTGCATATTTTACCCGTTCTTAAAATTTTGTTTTAAGAAAAGTCGTCAGCAAATAAAGCAAAACTAAAATATTCTAGGAGTGCAGAGAACAAAAATAATTCCTTCTAGTTTCAATGAAATATTTTTTTAATTTTAAACATCCATGTAATTACAACCATATATGATATACATATTTTAATTACTTTTTCAAAAAAAAAAAAATCTCAATAAACAAAAATTTATGTTGCAGAGAGCAAACATCAATGTATTCTAGTTTTATTGAAAAATTTTCTTTTGTTTTGAATATCAATATAAATATATATTGCAACTACATATAATATACATATTGCACTTGCTTTTTTTAAAATCTTAATAAAAAAAAATACTTGTTCATACATTACCTACACACATTTTATCCGTTCCATTTCCTTTTTGCTTATACCCATTTGTGCAAATACACGTCTTAATTGACCCTGAAAATGAATAAGTGCAGTTCCAGCCTTCGCCGCAATTGCAAGCTGAAATATTAAAGTTGAAATTTTAAAAGATAGAAGTTCAAAAAATTGAAATTTAAAAACTTGAAACACAAATTAATATTGCTCCCTGTATTTAATTATAAAGTACATTCTGAAGAAACCATCTCAAACTTATTGAAAATCACGTTATTTATTATCTACTAATAATATTTCTATCATATTTCCTTCATGTTGCACTCAATCTGAACTGTATTTCAGAGTACCATCATTGGCAATGAATTAAATGTTCTGTGGTCACGAGCAATAATGCGGTAAAATAAGGTGAAAATTTTACCAAACCCAAACACTTAAAATAACAAGCCGAAACCATTTGGAATATGTTTTGCGAAATTTCTGAGAGCCGCACATGGAATCCCGAGATATCCTGTGACTGATTTTGGCAGGAGGGTGTAAAAAAGGAGGTGGAAACTTAAATACTGATATTTAAGCAAATAAGATATAGTTTTCAATGATTTTTTTAAGCTGAATCGAATCTGAACCTTATACGATAGAACGAATAGTTTAGAATATATAAGAGGTTTAAGTAAAAATGTATTTGTTTGCACTTGTACATATTTATGTTCTCGTCATTGATATCTAGACACGCAAAATATTTCTTCGAATATAGTTTTTCAAACTAAATTGAATGTGACTATAAACAAGTCAATAGAACAAATAATTTAAAAGTTACAAGCGCATTTCTTCCTAAAAAGTGCTTCTTATGTCACATACTTATGTAGACACTTGCGTTGCTACCTAGGAGCTGCCTAAACTTCTAGGGTTTATGTATTGATGTAATTTTTTACCCTGAATTGAATCAGACTAATCCTGAAACAATCTGACTAATAATTTAGAAGTTATAAGCATTTATATATACAAAGAATTAAATTTTGCCCTTGTATCAAACAAGATCAAATACAAATCATTAGGGCTATCTGCATAGCAATAAAAGTTGCTTAAATAAGTGCAAGTACAAAATTAAACTTTTTTGCATTAAATGATTATAACTTGTCTATATATTAAGTAAAATGCGCAAATATGTACAAACAAGTATATTTAGTTCATAAAATCATTTTATCTTCTCGTTATAGCAATGCAGGTTAGGTTTCATTAGATTCAGCGGGAAAAAATACATAAAAAACCATACCTCATTTCCTTAATTATCAGTATTTAAGTTCAATTAAGTTTCATAAGATATTTTTACTATTCAAGACATTTATTTTGTAATAATATCATAAGCGTAACTTCAAACATATTTCGCTCTTGTTTAATTGCAGCTTAAACCATTAATGCCTAGTTGACCTATCATGAGCTAACGGGAATGGAACAGGGATTACCGATTGGAAAGTAATACTGAGAAGATTTGGTTCCACAAACTTTCAATGCAGCACAATTACCGCTACTCTCTTGAAACCATAAACTGAGTGGAAACTGGGTGAGTTTATAAAATTACGAAATGAACATACGTAATTTACATAATATCTCTGGCTATCTTTATGTTTTTAGAACGTTTCCTACTTATACTACTATACTTTAAACTAATTTTATTATTAAGGGTTGTTACATTTTTTATCAGGTTTAATTAAGCGGCTAATCAATTTTTTTACATAATAAATATTTTTGAGGCATTTTAATAAGTCTTATTATTTTTTCAAAAAAAAACTTTTTTATCAACAGTTTAATGCAAAAAAGTTGTATATTGAAAAAAAATAAAAACGGCATAAACTTTTTTTAAATCGGTAAATATCCTTCATTTGCGTATCGTTCGAAAAATTAATCACGCCTTTTTTCGATCGCACAACGTTTTAGAAAAACACACAAGTTTAAAAATTTTTCATAATTTTTACTTTGTAAATTAGGCTATATCTTACCAATCAGAACTCACGACGTTTAAAAATGGGCTTCCTGCATACCATCGCATCGAGCTCCTCCTACAAAACAACCATTCAACCCTCCAGATTCTTTAAGTGGTTTTTGCATTATATTTACTATTGTGGACAAAATATTTCAATGGAGTAGGATACTTTAGCTTATTGCATCGATAGGGTTCCTTTTCTATATCTTCTGTTGATATTTTGAAGAAATTAAGATTTACTGATCTGGATCTTAGTGTTGCTAAGATATATCCATTCCTATCTTCATGTTCACTTAGTTTATTTGTATCCCCTATCAAATGTTTAACACACCTGTACAAAGTCTGAGAGTGACACGGAAACATTATAGTTTTTCTAATTCGCAAGGTGCCTGAATTTTTCGGAGATCTAATATCATAACTACATAAGTATTGCAGAGGATATACCATACAAGAATTCCAATTAATGATTGAAGAACAATCCGAATCTTGAAATTTTCTAGTCGGTATTGCAAACTACGGTCTTTGCTGAACAAATTCCTGTCAACCGACAATACCTGCAGTACATTTTAAATGCAATCACCTTGCAACATTGTCTAGTAGACTAGCCAAATTGCTGTCCCGTTCCTTTATCCATTTCAAACAGTTAATTGTCGTCAATTAAATTCTTAGACAGTATATAAGAAGGGCCTTAAAAGCAAGACAAACCGTCCCAATGAAAAAGACTCTTAGAAATTTTGTGCTACCGAAGCTAAATTTTTATCCTGCAGATTGCTTTCAAATCATTCATTGAAATTTTTGATTGGTATATCCTTCTCCGATGTTTCACAACTTAAGTGACGTTTAAATTATATCACACATTAGCTCCGATACTACGCATTAGAGAGATATCAAAATCTCCCAATCACTCTCCAGGCTGTTATAAAGGAGCGTCAAACTTGTGACAGAAACTTCGAATAAGATTAAGAACATTAAGTAAGAGTTTGAGCAACATTAAAGTCTAGATCAGTTTTGTCTTAACTCTCCAAACAATCAGACTTAAAATGTGTTATAGATATAAAAAAAGAAACTTAACAATGAAGTAAACCAAGATATCCATCTCAAATAAAAATCTTTGAATATAGCTATAATGTAAATACCCGTCCAAAAAAAGGGAAGGTTACAGTATAGATGGAACTCAATGTGCAAACATCTTCATGTGGTTAGTTCCAAGTTTTTCTGGTCAACTCTAATGGGAGAATATATACACAGAGAAAATTAAGAAATATTGGTTTACTTCTGTTTTTTCTATTTTTTTTGTTGCTATTAAAATTGACTTCTATGCGTTCCATAAAAAATGCCACATTTTAACAGCCAATCATTATCGATTTAAGCTCATTACTCGTTTGCAGGCGCACAATTGTTATTAAATAAGGGGAAAAGCATTAAAAAGCAGAAACAATTACTTACCTATGCATTTTATTTGTGTTTCTATAAATCCATACGTTGGCTTACATTTACAAACCGCTTTACCATCTTCTTCAACGCATAATCCATTTCCACAGTCACATACAGTGTTCACATCTTAAAATAAAAAAAGAATGCATATTAGATACAATGTGTCTTGTTAACACCAGTAAAAAACATCAAACAAATTGTTTCAACTAACTAAAGGGGATATTTGTTAAATAATGAGTCAAAATCTCTAAACTATAACAGGAATTTTGGCGAAAATCATCTTATTAAATTGGTTTTTATGTAATTATTAAACACTAGCCGCCTAAAGCGGCCAGCTGTCCGCCACGCTAAAGGTTTTCACAAATAAAGTGTTTTAAAACATAGCAGGAAATCTGAAGATTAGTGGACAATTAAAGTGCTCCTGTCCTGCAAATTTGTCTTCATATCCAGTTCTGCTGCAGATGTGTTATAGCTCTTGAGGATGTTTGAAGATGTGACTTTACTATGGTGACCTAAGGCCTATGGTAACCTAACCTATAATATAACTATCAGGTGGAGACTCAGAAATTGTAAAAGCATACAAAAGTTGCTTTCGAAATCATCATTGGCCAATAGCTGAAAATTAAAACGCAGTTAATAACATATTTATGAAACAGCAATAAAATAAAACTTGTGTCAGCCAGCATACAGATAGTATATAATTCTTCCTATTCTTGTAAAACTTCTTTATAAACAATATTTTTAGTTTTTCCATTAGGTGCCAATAAATATAAGTTCTTTTCGTCACCAACTTTTGAGCAGCCAACATAAAGCTGTCCATGTGAAAAGCTAGGCTTCTGCAAGTCAAGACCAACGACTTTTAAAGATTGTCCCTGAGATTTATTTATACTCATCGCAAAACTAAGTGGAACAGGAAACTGAAGTTGTTTAAACTGAAACGGATTGTCTGAAGATATGATGGGGATGCGAGGAATAAGCACACTATTTCCTGTTGAATGTCCTGTTATAATCATAGCTTCAATAACATCAGGTTTTCACAATCAATCTTGTTCCATTACACAATGCAGGTGGATCCAAATTTCTTAAAAGCATAATTGGTGCTCCAATTTTCAATTCTAATTTATGTGCAGGCACTCCAGGTGGTTCCAATGAGTTCAAAAATTCTGTCGGATAGTTGACAACTTGATCTATTTCCATGACAGCGTCGATAGACTTGTAAATTTCCAGAGCACCAGGTTATTTATCACGTTAACAACATCATTTTTTGGAGAAAGGACAGGTCTTTCACATAGCCATTGAGGGTTGCAGTAATTTTCATGAATATTAGGAAAAACCATTTCTTTGAGTTTGTCGGTTGTGGCAACACGATTTCCAATATTTTTCACATCTATAAGCCCTTCTTCATCACCACTAATATCCCCATTTCCAAGTCTTAGAAGATTGTTGGCAAATTCCTGTGCAAAGACTTGTCCTGTTAAATGAACTCGCATATTAGTTTTCAGCCGCAGTCTTTGAACATTTGTCCAAATGTAAGATGACTTTATACATGCATGTATTTCATCTGCATTTGTCCCACGTTGTATTACAGGAAGTGTTTGGCAAAAATCACCAGATAAAACTAAAGTTACACCTCCCATACACTTGTTGTTTTTTAAAAGGTCTTGCATAGTGATATCCAGGACTTCTAAAGCAGCTTTATGTGACATAGTGCACTCATCCCAAACTATTAGTTAACATCTTCTAAGAACATCAGCTTTGTGTGAGCTTCTGGAAATATTGCAGGTAGAATGCTTGACGGTTGATAAATTTAAAGGTAATTTAAACACTGAATGAGCTGTTCGTCCACCAGACAAAAGAGTTTCAGCAATACCAGAGGATGCAACAGCAAGTGCAATCTTATTTATTTGTCTCACTTTTGCTAAAATCAGATTTATGAGATAAGTTTTTCCTGTTCCACCAGGTGCATCCACAAAAAATATTCCACCGACGTCATTAAATACAGCAAATAAGATTTTCTCCAAAGCTTCCTTCTGGTCTTGAACCAGATTTGGCTAATTTGAATCAATGTATGATGTCATTTCATCTGTATTGTAATTTGTTACCCTCAAAATTTCTCTGTTTAAGTCAATGGTATCTGTTTGTTGTGGCAAAGGAAGTTCATAAGTTTTTAAACCAGAACCACCCAATTCTTTGACCTGGTTTTCAAGAAGAATTAATGCCTGATTGAAGATAGCATCATCAAAATTTAAATCCATGTCAGTACTTCTAATCCTAGCTTGATGCAAAACATCTTCGGCCATATTTTCTCTTTGTAAATTCCACAATTCCAGAAGGTTTGCAATAGAACATGTTTGCAACATAATTGCAAATAAATTGCGCAGCATTTCAGGTGATCGAACAACAGCAGTTTCATCTAACGTGCTTTTCCAATGCGAGTCATCTTCAAGAAGTTCTCTTACCTGGCAAGCCTGCTTAAATGTTTCGCATTTTATTTCTCCAAAAGTCTTTAAGTCATTGAAAGATGTAGATTCGTGCACCTCATGAAGCAGCAGTCGAAGATGAAAACATTCGGAATTGTTGGGATGAATAGTGTAGACGCGACCAAGTGCATCACTTGATTTAATTCCTGGGTCTTCAGATACTATCAGACCAGATTTCCGCCGAACCCACTTTTTGCTGCTTGCAGACCATGTATAGTACTTCGACAACTGATTATACAACAAAGTGCGAGCAAAATCATCGTTTTGACATAAGCTAAAAAAAGAAGTAAGTGTTGTGGCTGGTGGAGCTTGAGCTCTTTCCCGTGCATTTTCTGATGTGAAGTAAACTCGCTGGCCATTCTCTAAGTGTACACTTAAATGAACAACTGTTGGATGCCTTTCATGTATAGGGAAACCCAAAATACGCCACACTGCCTCATTGCTACTGATGTATCGTCCTATTTCATAATGCTGTACTTCATCATGCACACTTTCGTCGTTGGCAATGTTAAATACAGCCATATCAGATCCTTTGTTTACGTATTTGCAAACATATTTTATAGATTTTATCGAATTACAAAATTCCACATTAATATGGGCATTAAAAGTTTTTGACAACAATGGACAAAAAGGAACTACCCATCTATTATCCATAACAATATCAGAACTCCGTACTTTTTTAACTGTCGTATAACCGCCATCCTCTGGACTCTGTCGACGATACAGGGGATATCCATCTTCCCCAGTTTGTGTTTCTTTCAAAAAATTTCGAGGGTACCTTTTTGTACATTTTCCATCTTTCATGCAAGGAGACTGTTGATTCAGGATCCCACAAGGGCCATGTATCATTTGTGTCTTAAAAACATCATGAAAAACTGGATCAATTTCTGGATCAGGTATTTCTGCACTTATTACATTATCTATGCTATGAACATGGATTTTTTCATGCAGCCAAATTAAGATATGAGCATGTGGGAGACCGCGTTTTTGCCACTCTATTGTGTACATAAAACATTGAACAGAGTCAAATACTTTTCCTTTGTTGATGAGAATCATAAGAACTTTTAGTTTAAGATGGAAAACTCTTGCTAGCAAATCATGTCGATCGTGACTTCTCTGCCTAGGCATTAATTCATTGGTAACCTCCTGCCGCTGTGAATTACAGGTGAATGTAATAAACAAATCAGGCTTCCCGTAATTTCTAACATATGTCATCGCATCTTGAGTTCGCTCATGCATGTAGCGTGGACCACCAGTAAATGTAGAAGGTAAAATTACCATTTTACCTATATCATGAACACTCCCGTCTCTGTTTAGGGCATCCTTGAGATGAACATACTCTTCAACACGTAGTTTCTTCTGGTTCAAGCGTACAAACATCAGTCGCTCAGATTCAATTTCTGCGAACATGTCCACAATAAATTGATTAAAAAGTCCCTTGCATCTTAAAATAATATTGAAATTTGCTGCTCGAAACATAATTCGATAGGCATAAAAATCCATGGCTGAAATTTTCTTAGAAGTCGGGAAGCCAGTAGTTGGATTTACTTGCCTTAGTTCAAAATGGTAGCCGTCTTCACCTTGCCAGAACATCGAAGGATACTGCAATGCATCATATGCTCGGTGTGTTTCTGCAATTTTTTTAATTTCATTACTTTTTAATTCCAATACTATATCTCTGCTACTGTATACATCACCTGCATGAATAACTGCCACCTCCGACGTATTTGGAGCATTAAATCGTCTTTCATGCTGACCGACAGGTGGTTTATCTGCCTGAATTATAACTTTTAATTCCGGAGTCATTTTCTCCATGGCCAACTTAAAACTTCTCACGTAATTATTGTGTTCATGCAACATTTCTTGCAAACTTGAAACTAATGCTTGTTTTACTTTCAAAACATTCCTGCAACGTTGTTCGGATTGCTTTTCCTGATCACCTACAAAGTATAATTGAAGAAAATTTGGCTTATCATTTATTTGTGGTTGTAGGCTTCCTATTCTGTGGTACACTTGTCCCTGAACTTTGAAAGTAGGCATAAAGCCTTGTTCCCGGATTTCGCTCCCAGATCCAAATGATGTCATCTGAAAGCATGAATTGTATCTTCTGATGTTACTCTGAAAATGTACTGTTTCAATTGAAGAATCTGTTAACAATGCCAGTAGAGGTTCAGGAGGTGTTTGAAGTTCACAGAGCTTAATTATTCCATTGCTGCAACACATACTTGGTGTTTCACCTTTCCATTTTAATGCCTGGCAAAAAATGCATTCTGTTGCCATTCCACCAATTTTTATCAATGGATCTGATGCATAACATAAAGATGGGTTGTACATAAATGCAGAGTTTTCCTTGTCTTGCCACAAATGCAATCGAGCTTGGGATGTTGAAGCACTATTTTCTTCTAGCCTTCTTCGACGTACCTGGGATGTTTCTCGGATCCTTGCATTTTTGGTTGAGACACGATTATTTTCTACTCTTCTTCCGCGTTCTTCAGATGTTTTTTGGGCCCTAGCACTGCTAGTTGAGACACGATCCTCTTCTAATCTTCTTTGACGTTTCTGTGATACTTCTTGGGCTCTAGAACTGCTTGTCGAAATTCGGTCATGTTCCATCCTTCTTTAACGTTCCACAGACGTTTCTTGGGCCCTTCTTCTTCTTTGAGAATCTCTTAATATCTTTTTCTTTGACAAAATACAAAGTTTTTTGGAAGGCGGTTCTGCCATGTCAGTAATCGGGTTTTTAAGAAGTCAACGAATACTTTAGAACAACAATTACTATGAAAGCAAATCATGAAACTTCAATATTAAAATCTAAGTGCTTACCTGCAAACTGAAACTTTCTGAAAATAACTAATTACATTTAATAAAAACTGTTAAAATAAAGAATAGAAAAACCAAAGAGATCCAAGGTAAGTGTGATCGTTCCTTCAAAAACAATTAAGCTCCTATTTTATATATTATATAGCTACAACGCTTAAGAATAAAAAAACTAAAATGCTAAATACATGAAAAGAACACGAAAACGAATTAATTTTTTATGGTTTAGTGTTTGGAAGTATGTAGAAGATACCAGGCATTTTTATAACTATAACTTGGTTTATTTCCTTCATAAACAACTAAAATACTAAGAAGAGTTTTACAAAATAAAGTCTATCATCAGAGTAAGTGGAAAGACATCAGTAATTCGGGACTAGGTGGCTTAGGTCCAGCGCACATCTCCGGGTGAGAGCTGAAGTCGAAGTGGCATACTGATCGACGGTGAGCTGGTTTTTATCCTTCTTGAGTGTTGGCGCGCGCAGTCCGGGAAAGCTGATTTGCATCTAGAGAGATCGGTTTCTTCCAGCCGCGTTGTATTTTATTGAAGATGACGTTCTGTGTGACGTTCGATGTGATGAGTCTTTGATGACGCCACAGGACTCCCCCACCAGTCCAGAACGCTGAGGTACGGGAATCCGGAAACGGACGTGTCTACCGGACCGAGTTGTGGACGTCTTAAGAGCAGACTTCACGGGATGTATTGGCGGCGGGATGACTGGAGCCTCTTGAATCTGTGAAAAAGAATGGGCAGGCTTATGTCAATCAGTGAAGATCCATCTCTTCTTAGTTCCGATCTGGACTTGAAAAAACTTCGGCTTGCGTTCGATCACAGGATAAGGACCAAGGTAAGGAGACGACGGACAGCGGACATAATGGACGACTGACAGCATCGTCACGGATGAAAACATGCGAAGTATCTTTCAGGGAAGCATGGACAAACATCTCCGTTGATCCATGACGTGAGGTAGGTGTTGGTCGAATCTGCCGGAAGTGCTCCTTTAAGGATAGTAGCAGTTGCTGTGGAGATTTCGTACCTGAAATAGAAGAAAAAAATTCGCCAGGCAGACGAAGATTACAGCCGTATACCAGTTCTGCTGTCGAGGTGTTAAGATCTTCCTTTAAGGCAGTTCGTATTCCCAGGAGGACGATCGGCAATTTTTCCATCCATCTTTCAGTGCCGGCGAGACTACACCTGAGGGCTCCCTTTAACTGCCGGTTAAAGCGTTCGATCAAGCCATTTGCAGAAGGGTGGTAAGCTGTGGTTCTATTACGTTTGGTACCCAGAGACTTCGAAAGAGCTAAAAATAAATTACTTTCAAAGTTACGATCCTGGTCAGTCGTAATAATCTCTGGCACACCGAACCGAGCAACCCATCCTGAAAAGAAAGCGTTAGCAACACTTTCAGCAGACTGATCTTTCAGGGGAATAGCTTCAGGCCATCGAGTGAAGCGATCGATACACGTAAGGATGTAAGTGTATCCTTGCGATGGAGGAAATGGTCCCACTATGTCCAAGTGGACGTGTCGAAATTTGTCGACCGCAGTTGGAAATTGACCAAGAGGAGTTTTTGTGTGTCGTGAAAGTTTTGATCGCTGACAATCCAAACATTTCTTGCACCATTCCGCACAGTCTTTCTTCAGAGATCGCCAAATGTATCGCTGTTTAACAGCGTGAGTAGTCGGTCTGGGGCGTGAATGAGACAATTTGTGTATTGACTGGAACACAAGGTGTCTGAAGCTCTCTGGAACATACGGGCGTATGTTACCCGTAGAGGTAACTCAAAATAGTGGTAGATCACTTGAGCTAAAAGCGATCGGCTTGATCGTCAAGGAAGGGTTAGATTGTAATTGCTTCAGCTCAGCGTCTTTTGATTGCTCCTCCGCCACTGCTGTGTAATCTATCGTACTAGGTAAATCTATCACCTCTATACGAGAGAATGCATCTGCGACAACGTTATCGCTGCCTTAAATAAATCTAATATCAGTAGTTTATTGACTAATAAAATCTAAGTGTCTGAGTTGACGGGGAGAAATTTTTTCGTGTTCCTGGCTAAAAGCAAAAATTAACGGCTTATGGTCCGTAAAAACTGTGAAGGACCTACCTTCCAGTGTATAATGAAAATTTTTGATGGCATTATAAATTGCAAGCAACTCTCTATCGTAAGTACTGTATTTACTTTCAGTAGGTGTAAAACGACGAGAAAAAAACGCAAGTGGTCCGGTCCTATCAGCTATATGCTGTTGCAATACAGCTCCTATGCCAAGGTCTGAAGCATCAACCGAAAGAGAAATTTTAGCATTAGGGTATGGATGTGCTAAAAGTGCAGCGTTTGCGATTGATTCCTTGAAAATATTGAAAGCTTTATTAGATTCATCAGTCCATTGTAAAGGGGTGGAGTCATTCTTCTTCCTTCCCTTAGTTAGAGCGTAAAGTGCCATTTGTTGAATTGCAGCTTTGGGAATAAATCTGCGATAGAAATTGACCATTGCTAGAAACCGTCGTAAAGCACGAACTTTGTTTGGTTTTGGATAGTTGCTAAGTACCGCATCTTTGTCGGGATCTGGTTTGATTCCCTCTTTTGAAACTAGACATCCCAAAAAAGTAAGTTCTTTTACACCAAATATATATTTATCCAAATTTAAAACCAGTCCTTTAGCATTTAAACGTGTGAAAATAGCCTCCAAGTCTGATAAATGTGATTCGAAATCCGTTGACGCAATAAGTAAGTCGTCAAGGTATGCGAAACATTTTAATCCTCTTAATGTTTCATCAATAAACCGTTTAAAAGTTTGGGCCGCATTCCTTAATCCGAAAGTCATATACTTAAATTCAAACAACCCTATTGGGGTGATTAAAGCAGTTTTTGGAATGTCACTAGGTTCAACAGGTATCTGGTGATACGCGCGTTTTAGATCCAGTTTTGTAAAAATTGTTTTTCCATGTAATTCGGAAGCAAAATCCTGAATATGTGGTATTGGATATCTGTCCGGCTCCGTGGCGCTGTTGAGCCGGCTGTAATCCCCACAAATACGCCAATTATTCTTCCCTTTTGGCACGAGATGTATGAGGCTGCTCCAAGGACTGCTGGAAGGACGGCAAATTCCCTGGTCGACCATCTCCTGAAATTGCTCTTTAACGGCAGCCAATTTATGAGGCGGCAACCTACGAGCTCGGGAACAGAGAGGAGGACCTCTCGTTATAATACAGTGCGTAGTTCCGTGATCCTTAACTACGACATTAACTGAAGGATTTGTCAAATTCGGAAATTTAAATAAAAGTTTTTGATATACCGAATTTTTACCTATTGCGGTAATGCTATTACAAGGCTGAGAGGGGTAAAAACCACGAATGTACTTTGCAGATGTGTTATCGATTAATTGACGATTTTTAATATCCAGAATGAGTTCGAATCGCTCAAGGAAATTCGCACCTAAAATCGGCCGTGACACATCAGCCAGAATGAAGGTCCACCGAAAAGTTCGTGGGAATCCTAAATCTAATGTAATCACTTTTTTCCCATAAGTAGAAATTTTCGAGCCGTTAGCGGCAAGTAATTCGATATTTTTATCAAGATGTTTCGCTGGACGCTGAACGGGATAAACCGAAACTGTTGATCCGCTATCTACCAGAAATTTCGTACCGGAATTTTGGTCTTTAATATATAAGCGACTATGATCATAACTCGCAACAGCCGTCGCCGAAACATGCGAGCAAGCTAGTTTTCCTAAAAACTGCATGGTTGCTTGCATTTAAGCGCTTTATTTCCGAATTTAAAATGGTACCAGCACGTAGAATACTGTTTTCTCGCTGGAGACTTGCTTCGCAATCAATTTCTGGGAGATTTTGACCTAAATGATGAAAGTCTCTTCATGGTTTTATTCAGTTCGGCAACAGTTGCTTCTAGTCTACTAATTCTAAGAGAGTCATCTTGCATTGCGGAAATTGTAGGGGTTATAATAGCAATTTCAGAGATTTTGTCGGCTATTGTGGCCAAACTTTCTAACTTATCCGAACTGACTGATAAAATTTGTTGAATGTTTAATGGTAAACGTTGAAGCCAGAGCATTTTAAGTACCTCATCTGAAACTTTAGTAGCGGACAATTTAGTCATTTTGTCTAAAAGTTGAGACGGTCTCAGATCACCCAACGACATATCAGATAATAAAGTCCTAATACGAGCACTTTCAGAATCGGAAAACTGATCGATTAGACGTTTTTTGAGCGCTACGTAGGAATCTTCATCCGGAGGGCTTTTAATTATGTCAGAGACAAAAGACGAAAGTTCACTGTCCAATGCAGAAACAACGTAGTGAAATTTGGTACCGTCCGCAGTAATGGTTGCAATTTCGAATTGTGACTGAATGTTACTAAACCACAACTCTATATTATCCCTCCAAACAGGAGGTGTTTTAACAGCCACACGCATGACTTCACTATCTGTAGGCATTGTAGAAAATAATGCAAAAAAGGCACAGAATATTCCTATTACGGCAGAGGGCATTTAAAAAAACCTTTTATGAGCAAAAATAAGGAACTTACGAGCGGAAATTTCTTGATTCTTGCAAGACTCCATTGAATTTCGTTCTAGTCCTGGGGTCACCATCTTTAGTGTTTGGAAGTATGTAGAAGATACCAGGCATTTTTATAATTATAACTTGGTTTATTTCCTTCATAAACAACTAAAATACTAAGAAGAGTTTTGCAAAATAAAGTCTATCATCAGAGTAAGTGGAAAGACATCAGTAATTCGGGACTAGGTGGCTTTGGTTCAGCGCACATCTCCGGGTGAGAGCTG